GAGGGGTGAAGCTAATTTCTGACTTATCAAGAGATCCACCCGAGCCCTAGTTCAACAGCAATATTTGCTTCAGGGGATAGAACAACATGAAAAGAGTACCCTGAGAAATCGTAGAATATATTAAAATGAAATATAAAATGATATAATCAGTACAATCCAATAACATATGTGTGAATGTATCTAACATTGTATATTACACCAAAAGAGTAGGGAAGGGAACGGGGGTACTCGCTTTACAACTGCTTTTATGAGATTTAGCAAATGTTTTTGAATAACCCATCCGAACAACTCGAGAGATGGGAAACTCCGAAGTTATTTTAGTCTTTATCTTTACTTTCATTGATATGAGTGAGGACCGCCTATTAAATGGAGCACATGTTTTTGAATAAATCTGAACATACCAACTTGACAAGATCAGAAGCACCGAAGCTATTGTAGTTTGAAGCTTTACTTCCATTTATATGAGTGAGGAGGGCGAGATGAGATTGAACAATTGTTTGTGAATAATTCATCTGAACATACCAAATCGATAGGAGATATATATATATATATATATATATATACATATATATATATAGAATCGATATATATATATATCTATATATATACATATAAATTGCATAATTTCATGGAGATTAGAAGGAGAAGGGATGATATTAAATATCTTTCAGGTTTATATTGATTTAAACATCAGGAGTGCATGCTCATTAAAAATTCACTAATCTTTATCTATCTTATGTTATACCAACTTACCAATTATATAAGGCGTAATTCTTTGCCAGGGTTTATCGTACAACACATCGAACGATTCAAATGGCTCTGCTACTTTGTAAGTATAATTAAAATGAATTGAAAGAAAAATAGATATAGCCCACGAGCACACCACTAGTAACCAAGTAGAAATGCCGATGTTTTCATATATCTGAAACGAAAATTAAAAAAATAGAATTATCATTTAATTTTTGCATATCAATAATTTTAAAGTTAAACAATAAACATAAGGTAAAGAGTGATCAACAAAAGAGGCTAAAAAAACTCGTATAAAATCAGAGTTGACTGCCACAAACGCACAAGTTCCATGTGGAATATCGCAGTTTATTTTTTCTTTTCTTTAATGGTATCTTATGGCTGGGACAACCAAGTTTTGGTTTTTTAAATGATATTTTGAGAACAAAACAGTACATAAACAGTACATAATTGGGGGCTACCCCAGCGTAGTGGTTAGCATCCACACCACTCACGCCAAAAGTTACGAGTTCAAATCTCACCCCGTACAAGTCACGAATGACCCAAGAGCGTTAAAGTGACTATAATGAAAAAAAAAAAATAGAAAAAACAGTACATAAATCATATCAGGTAGTTAATAATCGATTCCAGAAGATACATTTTTTTTCCAAAAAGTCACATAGGACTGTTATGCATTTATAAGCAGAGTAGTTCCACGCCAAATGACGAATCGATCAGACCGACCTTCTCCGATTTTGCATGACACTTTAAATAATTGTTTGTATAGTCCTCTCCAGGCGGGTTCGTATTGGTGCGATTTGCGTGTGTTAGTGAGATGAAATTTTTTGTTAGCTGTGAGAATTTTTTTGTTTGCTACAGCAAACTTACAATAACTGTCATTTTAATATAAAAATAAACAACAAAACGAAAACAAACCCTAAGCTTGTAAGGTAACGTCAAATACCCTTTTATGAGTAAAAGTTAACCCATTTTTAATAACAGTGGCTTTACTCATTAATGAGTAAATTATTTTAACAACAATAAGTTTCTGCTAACAGTAGCTAACAGTTACTACTTAATTGGCAAAATAAATTGCTCATTAATTAGTAGTGCCACTTTTATTGACAATTGGTTCACTTTTACTCATAAATGGATGTTTGATTCTTACCGTGCACATGTGTGTGTAAAATTATGTTATTAGTGTAGTGTTTGTGAGATCCTGCTTGGAGAACTCAATGGGCAATCATTCACATTTATGCTAAAATTCGGCCATTTTTAATGATGGTTTTTTTTTTTTAAATGGCGTATTAACCATTTTTCAATAAATCGTAGCTCGAAAACATCACTTCTAATCGATATGACTTCTGGAACCAAATTGTATGGAAAAATAATTTAATTCTGAAGACCTTTTTGAAAAGGTCCAATGTCTATTTGTCGATCAAAGAGTTATAAAGGTATCTCCCAAATATTATTGTAGATTTGAAAGTGAGAATGTATTAATGTTAGCAGTCAGTTTCATTATTACCACTACTGACAGCATGGCGCCAAGTTTTTCAAATGGAATGGATATTTGATCATTTTTCCAAAGATATCGTGCGAAAACAGAACAAATCCACAATATTTTGAACAATTATACAATTATACAATTATACAATTATACAATTATACAATTATATGAAATTCAACGTACTTTCCAAATCTGCAAAAATATGTAGGGGTTACTTTTCATTGTAAGTGTAAACATTGATAAACGTAACTGAAACGTCACGTAGAATGTGTCTAATAAAGGAATACCCACCTTGATGAAATCGTTAGAACGATTATAGCAACAACATAAAATTGCATATCATTTGCCAGATACCAGGACCAAATCATACACATTTCACTGAATGAATACCAGTTATTTATGTACAGAATATTGCGCCACCAATATTTATTGCACGTTATGTGATCTATTATTCCTGGTGTGAATACTGATCTTCCATAGGTCCATCTGGAATTAAAATAACAGTTTAATCTTCACTAGTTTTAAGCAGGGTTTAGCTATTACTTTAGGGCGAGCTCGTTGAAGATTATCACAAACAAGTAAGCAGGTGTTAGTCTTATGAATCGGTACAGAATTGAGAACAAGATTTTTGAGCACGCTGATGGATTGCAAAGAGTGCTGTTTTGTTTCTCTTTCGATGGTTCATTTTTAGCAGATCGGAAATAAAGCACAACGACTAATACTCCACTAATGAAGAAAAATGTGTCAACCGAAAATGTTGCATTTCCCACTATTTGATAACTGAAGGAGCGTTCAGTGATTTTACGTGCAACCTGAAAAGAAAAATCAGAAATCGTTAAATATTTGTATCACAAATGTTATCATTCAGGAGTTAGAATAATTGTTGAATAATCTTGAGAAAACACGAGAAATCTGTTAAAAGCATTATTTTTTATGCCTCTAATTTGGGCCCATACATAAATTCAGCAATCGACTAAATTTTCAATAACGACCAAAAATATCCCTCAATGACGCGTTCATCTAGATGAAATTGATAAATAGCAGATTTTTAGCGATGGGCCCAATCTTAGATCCATAGGCCAACATTAGAGCCATTTCCCCTATATTCTAATATTTATTTTTACAAAGATTTGATGGCCTTCGCCTCCTTCGGCATAGTTGACGTAGCTGTTGAAGTTTAGCCGGTTGTCGATCATCACTCCTAGGTATTTCAACATGCGCTTCGAGGCCATGGCATGCTTCCGACGGCGATTTCTGCGCGCTGCACAGAGTCCGGAAGCCAGATAAAAACTCAATAATATACTAAAATATTTTATATTTTATATATTTTTCTCTGGTTACATGTATCTACTTTAACTGAGAATTTCCCAAATATTATTGAATTTGAAGTTGATGCAATGAGGGGTTGTTGATCAATTTTAATCAGCATTATTTTATTGGATGATTTCAATACCGTTTTCCTATACACACAATAATAGGTGTGCATAGGTGATTCATGACAGCGACCAGAAGGTAGGTTAAGAAAACCAAAAAAAAAAATTGGGATGAAAATTCACAAGACTTTCATAATAAATGTTGCCTGGGGGTGAACAGAAGGCAGCTACAGGAAACCATAAATCTTGTGGGGTAAAAGTTCACAGGACTTCCATGAAAAGTTATTCCTGGGGGCGACCGGAAGACAGGTGAAGCAAACAATAATTCTGGGAGGGTGGGGGCTGGGGATAATTGGTAATAATTCTATACTAAGGAAGGATAGGGAACAGCATCACGCACAGCCGAGTAAACACATACATCTGTGTGTTTGCACGTCAAACATAAAGAGACGTGCAATGTGCTAATGCTATGAGATTGTGCTAATGAATAATTTGCGCTCATGGAGAATGTGCTGATTTTTCAAAATATAACAATTTTTCAATTTTGGGTGAAGTATAATTTCTATGCTACGGCACTTACATCCAAAATGTTGTTCATGTTAACATAGGTTTGGAACTGTTTATAACGGAATGAGCTTTACTCGAGCTAATTTTGAGCTCTCTTTGTGCTGTTTCTGTGCGCTCTTACCCATATTGCACGTCTTTCAAATTATTGTACGTATCTGTCATGGATACCAATTGAATTAAGTGGAATTAAATGGAAGATAACTTTTTTTCCTGTTTTATCGACAAAATATGATTTTTATTTCATCAAGCATTTAAAAATATTTTTTGTTGAATCAAGCATTTTTATTTTGGAACAACTAGGTGCATTGAACTGCTGATGTTTTGATTTTGTATTAAATTCATTTGAACTGAAATTTTATTATACTATATTGCGCTTTGTTCATTGATTTTCTGTTTATTTGGAAACAAATATAGAACAACTTATTTTTTTAATTTTCTACATTTTCCTATCCTCTCGGTGCATAGTCGAAAAAAAAATCTATAAGCGATCGTTTCTCCCTTGGTGTAGGTATCGTTACCCGTCATCCTTTGACCATGCAGCTAGTTTATATACAATTCGATGACCACCCGAAACCTCTTCGCTGCGTCAGTGGGACTTCTATAATAAGTGGTTCCAGAAGGCAGCTTAAAGAAACCATAATTCTGTTGGGGTGAAAACTCACAGGATTTTCATAACAAGTGATTCCTGGGGGTGGCCTACCGGAGAACCTTCAAATTCTAATGCTGCGTTCTTGGCATTCTTATTTAAGGAATGTCAACCTTCCACAGGGCCAATGTAACCTCGTTGATAATTTCGAACTTCTAATGCTTTGGCCTCGTGAAGTTCTCGAATGGCGAATATCTGGAATATTGGCTCAACAGATAATCCTTATCCTTCTTCCTTCTAAAGTTCTCGATATGTAAATATTTGAAATATCGCCTTTCGCAGACCTTGAAATTCTAATGCATTGTCCTCATGATGTTCTCGACATCCTTATTTTAGGAAAGTAGCCCATTGTCATTGTCACCTTATTTATAGTTTTGATTTTAATACTTCGTCCTTAGTTCCTTCGCAGATATTTGGAATATTGAAATTCCGGACTCTAAAATTCTAATGTTCGTACGTATGATATTCTTGACCTTCTTTTTAAAGGAATGTCAACCTTCCTGAGGACATTTAATTGATAATTAAAACATATTTCTCATGTTTTGCCTCATGAAGTTCTCGGCATCTTCCATGGAATTTCTAGCTAATAGAGGATCATTGTCCCCTCAATCATGATCTGCAAATTCATATGCTTAATCCTTATGAAGTTCTGCCAACTCGTTGATAATTTTGAAATTTTAATAGTTTGTCCTCGTGAAGTTCTCAATATGGAATATTGGCTCAACACAGGATCATTGTCACCTCGTTAATCGTTTTTAAATATGGTTATTCATGACGTACTCGACATTCTCATTTATAGGAATATCACTTACAGAGGAACATTGCCACCTCGTTGATAATTTTATAAATTCTAGTTTTCCGTTCTTATGATGGTCTCGATATGCGAATATTTTTGTCACTTTCCAGAGGACCATTGGAAAATGATTGTTATTTATGAAATTCTAATGCTTCATCCTCCTAAACATCTCGATAGGAATTTTTTTGAAATAATGTTTCAGCAGAATATGATTGTCACCTCATTGAATATTTAGTCATTCTTATGCTTCGTCATCGTGAAGCTCTCGACATTCTTATTTAACAATGCCATCATAACAGAGGACCATCGCCACATCGTTGATAATTTTAAATTCTAAAAAATAGTCCTCATGAAGTTATCTTTCTTTTCTATGCAGGATTTTTGTCACACTGATAATTTCTAAATTGTATTGCTTCAGCCTGGTAAAGCTCTCTTTATGCATTTATTATGAATTTCACCCTAGTATATATGTCGAAAAATTGCGACTAACATATTATTATTTTACGATCACAGGACAAGCCAAAAACCAATAGTTATCATTAAAAACCAATTCAAAACTTGGTGACCCACACCGGTACACGAGACCCTGTTGATGTTGTTTCGTTTGAAGAAACAGAGATGATTTTTGACAATATATTTAAGCCGTTGAGTGATACACTTTAGTGTCCAGTAGACTGATGCAAAATTTGAAATTTTCACTCCACAGTGTTCAAACGGTTCCAAATTGGGCAAATTGGGTGTGTCCACTGCTGCTTTCAAATGCATAACTTACCCTATTTTCACCTACTGCGAATAATTGTAAATATGTATGCACCATTATAGTCCAAAGCAATGAGTACAATCTCATACCGTGAATACATGTTAGAGAATCCTACAATTAAAAAAAATATTGTTTAATACAATACCCGTCGAATTAATGTAAAATATTATTACCTTACTAGCCTTTGCTACTGATAAAATAGTTTTAGAGTTTGACCCTGCGGCAAAACATAGAAGAATATCTGAAATAATGCCTACTAGGAGAATGGTTAGATCAAATCTTTTATTAAATATCGATGAGAGAAAAATACCTATGTGCTTGTTGGGAGGTGTGGATCTAAGAATAGATGCATCTATTCCTTCTTTATTCACACAGACGTCGAAATTGTTGTTCCGGCTTATATGAATCAATTCATGTGCTTTGTCTGACTCGACTAGTTTTTCTGTGGCTGTAAATTTAAGTTCAGACTCAGGAATTTTGGGATGTGATCCTCTGTCATTGCTTTTTGGACGCTTTTTAGTTCCTCCAATAGAGCTCTCGTAGTATGTTGCAAAGATGACAGTTGTTACCAAAACGATCAATGTTGAACTGAAAATGGGAATAATTAGAATCATGCAATTGACCTATGGTTTTGATGTTAGTTAGTTGTAGTCCAAGCGATTGAAATCAAAATATCAAATTATATAGGATTCCTAAAACAAGGTTTAAAACTTTTGTGCCCAGAGATGAATTCTCTGTAGCTCGATTATGCAGTGGGGTAAAAGTTCAAAGTTGAGAGTTCTCCAGACAAGTTCACTGCTAATAAAAGTATGCTTTACTCGTATCCGTTAGTTGATTTGGAGGCAAACCAGCCCAAGGCTGAAAGCCTCCCTAATAAAGATAAATAATAATAATATCCGTTAGTTTTTCGAATCGTACCTGAATCCATTGTTCCATCCCCCTAAATCCATTAACACTATACGTTGATCACCGGGGTGAAATTGATCAGAAGCCTTGCGTTTTCAGCTGTCCCATAGAAATTTTTCGATAATTGATATCAAGATAAATCTTTATAGTATTTCACCAAGGAGCTATAATGATTTTTTTGTTAGATTTCTCAAAAAAAAAAAGAATATTTTACTGCATAAAAATCAATTTTATTTCACCGGCGTTAAAAAGCTGATCATTCAAACATTCAGATTTGCATCAACTATTGTTATTAACTTGATAGTGGTGTTATGACTAAACCAAGTGTCACTACATTCAAATTATTTACAATATTAGGAAATAAATGTTTCCAATATCAAGCAATTAGAGGATTTTCGTCAAATTTCCTACGAAATAGGCACAACTGTGTATATTAATAAATCTATTTTGGCATTTTTTTAGATACACTTCACGCAACGATTTCAACGTGTGATTTAGATTCAGAGAAACTAAATATATAAAGCACATTAACTATAACTACACTGAAAAGCTATCCGGAGGGTTGATCAATTTCACCTTATATCATAATTTTTAAATTTGAAATTTAAAAAATATTGTAAGTCTGTTCACAAATTACTTAACATAAAAAATTTCACCTCCACCCCCTGTTACCATACATAACACATCTATCAATACCCCCATCTTCCCCTGGAGTAACAAGCAACAATAAACATTTTCTCAAGTAAGAGAAGGCTAGCATGAAATGTATGCCTTTCATTTAAGATACAATTGGTAAAACAGTATTACGATACAGCTCTAACAGTAAACTGTTTGAAAATAAACTTAAAATAATTAGGACAAAAAAATCTCGATACCTTTCGAAATCTCTCTTGGGAAAAATGGATTCAAATCATGGATCTTGGATTTGTTATACCTATTATGCATGTAGAAAATTGTTATATGTCTGATGAACCCTTCTTCATGCGATTTCTTATTTTCTTAAAAGTTTCCTACGAATCAGCATTTTATTTTTTTTTAGATTTTCATTTTCATATACTATAGTTTTCTACATCACACTTAAATGCCATAGAATTCTGATCCGAACTATTATGTGATTCACGCGAAAATACCCATAGATATATTTGAATCCCTTTGAAATCATCCGCAGAATTGCCTTGAAACTTTTCTAAGAAGTCTCTTGAAATCATCTCTGGAATTGCTGTGAAAGTCTCCTCAGAATTTGATTCGTTTGAAATTATTCTCAGATGGCCACAAGAATCTCTTCAGAATTATTTAGAATATTATAAATACAGAATTCGATTCAGTGGGAATTCTTTTTGGAATTTTCATCAAACTTTCTTCTAAACTATCTAGGTATAGGTATAGGTTCAGTATTCGTATGAATTTATCCTCAAAAGTTCGTATACATTTTTTTCAGAATTCCCATAGAATTTACCATAAAATTCACTTGGAGTTCTCCTCACAATTTACATATATTCTATAGAATTCTTCTCACAAGCGCTTTGAAATTCATGTCAGAAAGGGGGACACTTAGAGCTCCCATGATATCGATATTTTTGCTAGATCTTATTGTTTCATGTTCAAGATTTCTGAACAGCTTCTTAATTTAATCTTTCACTATTCACAATGCAATGATACAGGTAGCGCGAAAGCGTTGTTTTGTTACCCTGGAAATGGTAACGGTGGCGTGAGAAATTGGTATCGAAAGTGGATGCCGTACATAATACTACGACTCTTTCTAAAATAGAGTAGGTAGAAAGAAGTTTGATTAAGATTATGATGGTATCCTGCAAATAGATGGAACAGGATACGGGTAGGATCTAGGTACGATTAATTAAAGAATATTTTTCGTAGATTGATTCACCATATCGACGAATGCGGAATGGCGATCAGCAGTCAAGATCCATACATTTACAACCAATATTGAAACGTTGCACGTGAGATGCCATCCACACTTCATTAACATATTGCTACTAAGTTCAATCCAGAAAGCACCGATGTTTCGAATTCACATACACATACTCTGCCTTTAAATCAAATCCAACTATCATGATGTTTCCCACACATCCGCAAGTGTCAGACTGGCATTTTCAGGGTTTTTTCTTTTCTTCTCTTCATTAGTTTTTTACCTCTGGAATGTCATACAAAACTTCTTAAAATTCCGCGTAACTAAGTCTTTAAGGGGAAGTTCACCGCTCCGAAAAAAATAATTACGTCTTGATTTCTTTTTTAAAAATATTGTAAAAAGATATCAATAATCTGAAAAAAATCACATTTTTCTAATTTTTCTAAAATCTAAAGTCACGTGCAAAAACCTTTTTTAAAAGGCATCATGGCATAAAATTGGACTTGAAAAACCACAAAACATCGACTTTTCGGTTTTGCTGATGGTCTATTTTTTTCATGATGAGATAAAAAAAATGTTTACAGGTAAATTTTTCCAGTAATCTAAGAAAAAAACTGCTTTTCTTGGATGTTTGATAATTTTTCGTAATATTTTTAGAAAAATAGAAATGGTCGGAAAAATAAATTATTTTCGGGCGGTAAATTTCCCTTTAAGAAGGAATACTTTCAATATTTACATCCAGTCTTCTCAAAACAAAAGAAGTGCTCCTAGCGCTCCTGTCTCCTCTCGCTTGCCGAAGTGTATCCAATGACGTTTCAACGGAATTGAAACTCGTATGACGGAATTGGAATCAAGAAGCAGTGTTAGATTTTTACAATATTTTTTGTATACGTATGGAAAGGTAAATAAATTTAAAAGTCAACTTTAAAAGTAACATTCCATTTTTAGATCTAAACTCGTTCGAAAAACAGAGGTAAAGTGTGGGATTTGCTTAGTATGACGGACATTAGATCTTAACTGAGATTTGAACTTATGACCATTAGCGTGAGAGGTATGGATGGAACCACTACGCCAGGTCCATCCCCAATAGCCGGATTCATGAAAAGTACCCAACTAACAATTTTCACAATGTAAACGCTTTACCCAACTAACAATTTTCACAATGTAAACGCTTTACTCATTTCATTTATACAGTCTCAAGCTGTATTCAAACGTTATACGATATGAGGAAACCTTTACTCAACCTCTATACAAGCAAATCTGGCGAACTTAGTCAGCTACTTATGGCTGTTAGAACGGTCGGGAGAAGCTCTTATTGCATATCCATTAATGCTTCTATACAGCTGTTATCCTGTTGTTTAGTTGTGTGTGAACTTGAAAGGCGCTTATTCAACCTTTTCCCGGTTATCCAATAATCACTACACAGCTTTCTCTTGAAGCCGGGTTAAATAAATACTGTTAAGCTTTTTTATGAAGGAATTTATTGAGTTTATTTTGCTGTGAGTGAATCAAATAAATCGAAATTAGTTACAAATCATCACCAAATTATTTACCCTGCACCGGAACCTGGAATCGAACTCGAGACGACCTCATTGGCAAACCTTGACACTACCGACTGTGCTACGCCAACACTTTGAACTTATGTAAACAAATCAACATTCGCTTCTACAACAAAATCGCTGAGTAGAGGCTTTATAATAGTATACATGAATCACTTTTCTCGACTAGTTATAAAAGAACAGAGTAAAAGCTGTAAAACTGCACACGTCTAAAAATAAACCTAGTTGACTGTGAAAATGCTTCCGAAGTTGCTCTAACACAGTTTATAAGCTGAGTACAGGTTGTTTAGTTGTTGAAAAAGTACTTTTGATGTTTATGTTATTCAGCAAGAGTGATTGGTTGTGGTGGGCGTTGGCCAAATTTGGATTTTTCAGATATAATCCTAAATAGGACCTAGATTATTTAATACTCTAGTAACCTCAAGTCCGTGCTCTGTCACAATGTTTCATCACAGACAAACAGACGTAACTCTTTGAAAAACTTGTTCTTGAAAACATAGTATCTCAAAACATATAACCTCAGTAACGACATCTCTCTGGCTTCTCGCGGAAAACAAGCTTGCTCGCTAACTCGTAAACAATATTGCATAAAAGTTCTATAGAATGTATAGAAACGTCAAAGTGATCCGATGCCAGCGCTGCGGCGAGTAGTTCGCGGAACTGATAATATTCAAATCAACCGTTAAATGCATGAACGAAGATACACAATGAAGAGTTACGTCTGTTTGTCTGTGGTTTCATTGTGATTAATCAACACTCAAAGGGGTAAAATATCAAATTTGGGGTGGATTTGAAAGAAAGGGAACTTGGAGTGTAGAGCGCACTGCCCACTGGACGATTCTGAAGCCTGGCCAAGTGAGTGGGGTATGGGTTTATTTGATTGAACGTCATTTCCAATGTATATATTGATACATTCAAACCATTGGCATTTGAGATAAGACAGAGATAGGATGCGGAGGGCCCGCTTAGGGGAAGCGTAACCCATGTTATGGTTTCCATTTATTAAATAGTTCAGATAGGCTGGAAATGACAGGTTCATAGTGAGAAAATGTACCATATGGGGCCCGTTCACTGATCAAAAATCAGATTCACATCGTCAGACCCTGCCCAAGAATAAGGGGATTGGCGATGTCTTGTCAAGTTTATTTTGAATTTGCGTTTTGCATTTAATACTCTAGCAAATCTCGCGTCCGTGTTCATTCACAACAGTGTTAGGTGTCAATACTCACTGGGTCATGTGTCTTAGACCAGTTCCAGATTAGTTTGCTATTAATATCTTCTGCATCGCAGTTCGCGATAGATTACTAAATATGGGTTCTCTTTTCCGAACAATATTAGTGTGAGGGAAGGGGGTGAGTTAAACGTTGCGATATGAGAGCGAATAGAGGCAAATAAATAGGAAAGACAACACCATGACCAAAATAAGTAACCAATGCATGCGGCTCACACTTAACTTGTTCTATTTCTTTCTTTCTTCCTATAATGTACTAATATTAACTGAATGAGGACAAATGGGAACACGACCAGAAGATCAATAGGAGAAAAAGAAAATTCGAACAAGAAAAGAAGAATTAAACTTGCACCGGCAAGAGGAAGCAGACAGAAAGGTTCATGCCGGTTGGAGACAGCCAATGTATACTGGACGAAGCTTGTATCTAGGAAAAGTCGTATGTGCAGGAAACCGTAAGTAGGATAAGAATCGTAAAAGGTGTGTGCTTGCTTGATAAGATCCTAACTTTACGTTAAATACACGGTAGGAATCGAATATCCATTTATGATAAAGGTTTTGCCCATTTTTCAGTGGGAGTGGCAATACTCATTGATGAGTGATTTATCGTACCCATTTATTAGTAACTGTTAGCAGCTAATGATTAATTGATTTACCTATTTTAGAATTACCTATACTTCACATCAGAACCTCATTTCCTTCAATTACTACTCCGTCGCAGCACACACCTTATATGGATCGCTAACCTTTATTTAGTTTCAGCATTTTCGACATTATAATCAAAAGGTGAGTTTTAAAAGTATAATTACCATGCATATAGATAAGTTAATGTACCAGAACCTGGACGGACACGAGCCTACCCAGGGGAGGACCCGGATACGACCACCCATGTGTGTCTAGAGTATCGCACGAGCTGACGAGTGCAACGGGAAGGACAGTAGGTGTATAGACTAGGGGGTTGGTCCCTAGATAAGCCTTCTTAGCGGAAGGTACAGCCTATGCACTGAACAATTACAATTACAATTCAGCAAGAGTGATTGGTTGTGTAGAAGCCATCAAATGAGTAATATATTCACTTTGTTAGCTTTGTTTTGCAGCTACAAGTTGAAAGTTGGGTAGTGTGTGTATAGAAGTGACATTAGCGTTTATTGGCTGATGTTATTCAGTGCGACTGACAAATTGAATAATGGTTGTGAGAAAGTTGAGTAAACGCTCTCCAAAACTATTTTGCTAGCTTCTGCTTGTAGCTGTATCTGCAGCTTCTTTTCAGCTACTTTACAGCACAACGCTGGAAAAGTTGGCTTACAAAGCTGAAAATGTTTGTTGGGTAAACATTTGTACATACCTTAATAAATAAAATCTGCTGTCGTCAAAGAGACTGTAACTGCCTGGAACCTCTCGTAGATTTGTTATATCTAGCAGGCTACAGGAAGGACTGTGATTTGTTGAGTTCATTGTTTGACAATTGTTTGATTCCAAAATTTTCTTGGAAGTTGGGTCTTCCTGAAGTATTTTGTATATATCTCTAATGGAACATGTTTTGGGTAAGCACTCTCCCAGCTGTAGAGGCTTGACCTGAAATGATTGGTTTGAAAAACAAATAAGAATGTTTACTGATACGAAAAATCGGGTATCGCACATAACCTGCTCTATTTTTATTGATATTGCTACTTACTTCAGGCATAATGTCAGCTATCTTTACTTTAATTGTCGCAACATAAAAACGCATTTCAACAAACGTCGACTGATTTTCATTACTATATTGGTGATTTACTTCTTCACATGATGACTTTGAGCCTAGCCAGTAGTCGTTACCGAAAAATGATAGTCCACCATATCGTCCTGATGAATCACACACTGGAAAGACAATATATAGACATAACTGTATTAATAAACATATTCGATGAAAAGTAAACAGTGGATAGTTGGGAAAGTTAAGGTTATATGCATGTATGTATTTCTGATACACTGACCCCACAATTATGGATCAGCTAAAAACAATTATCCGAGGTAATCAAATGGAAGTGATCCATAATTGTGGATGATCCATAATTGTGGGCGGTTCATAATTGTGGGTGATCCATAAGTGAACCTATTCGTAAAACTAAAATAAATATATTTAGTAAATGAAAAGTGTTTCAAAATGCTGTTATAAATATGTCAATCAAGTGTAGACCGTTTTGTTAAATTTCACATTTCATGTCTTATTTCTAAAAATTATATAAGCAAAACGACTAGACTAAGCAGCATCTGCTATAACACTGTATTTATTTGTGTGTGTCTTAAAGGGTTATACCACAAACGAAGTGACAGACGACTTACTGGCGAAGAAATCCATTTAAATAATGTGGTTCACTGTAATAGAATTTTCTTGGAAGCTTGTGCCATCATCCACCAGATGGGTTAGTTTTTTTGTTTTGATTTGAACAAAGTTGATTTTGTGTACAATGATTCTTTGACAGTGTGCAAAGAGTGCGTATCATTTTGTCATTTTTTTATGCATTTCAGTTTTGAGTAGAGTGAAAGAGATAGAACCAAAATATTCTAGTACATTTGGTGAAAATGCTAGTTCAATCCAATAGTAGTGTTGCCATGTGGTACAATCCAGTAGTAGTGGTGTTGCCATGTGGTACACTGAAAAATTGCAATAGCAGGTTAGTCACCAAAGTTTTCGAGCCGCTCCGTCTGTCACTTCGTTTGTGGTTATACGGTCAAAATTTGGTCAATATCAACTTGACGTATTTCTTTCAATTTTGCATTTAAAAAACCTGAACACCCCTCATTTTGAAGGTGTGTGTGTGTAGAATGTTGCTCCTATTTTGATTTTGGAATTCACTCTTCAGTTGTCAAAATGCCGTCCAAGCAAGAAGAGCAGCGTATCAAAATTTTGCTCGCGCATCGCGAAAATCCGAGCTACTCGCACGCAAAGTTGGCAAAATCGCTAAAAGTTGCCAAATCAACCGTTACAAATGTAATTAAAGTGTTTGGGGAACGTTTGTCGACAGCCAGGAAGTCTGGATCGGGGGGGAATCGAAAACCGGAAGCCGCTGAGACGACAAAGAGAGTTGCCGGTAGTTTCAAGCGAAACCCTAACCTCTCTCTCCGAGATGCCGCAAATAAGCCGCAAATAAGCATCGAGCCAAAAAACGAGCCGGACTATCGACTTACAAGAAGGTAGTGACTCCAAATCGCGATGATAAACAAAATACGACGGCCAAAGCGCGATCCCGGAGGCTGTACACGACGATGCTGACGAAGTTTGACTGCGTGGTAATGGACGACGAAACCTACGTCAAAGCCGACTACAAGCAGCTTCCGGGACAGGAGTTTTATACGGCAAAAGGAAGGGGAAAGGTAGCAGATGTTTTCAAGCACATGAAACTGTCAAAGTTCGCAAAGAAATATCTGGTTTGGCAAGCCATCTGTACCTGTGGCTTGAAAAGCAGCATTTTCATAGCTTCCGGGACTGTCAACCAAGAAATTTACGTGAAAGAGTGTTTGAATAAACGTCTGCTGCCTTTCCTGAAGAAACACGGTTGTTCCGTACTGTTTTGGCCGGATTTGGCATCTTGCCATTACGGTAAAAAGGCCATGGAGTGGTACACCGCCAACAACGTGCAGGTGGTTCCCAAGGACAAGAACCCTCCCAACACGCCAGAGCTCCGCCCAATTGAGAAATACTGGGCTATTGTCAAGCGGAACCTAAAGAAGACCAAAAAAAAAAAAAAAGCTAAGGGCGAGCAGCAGTTCAAGGCAAACTGGCTTTCTGCGGCGAAGAAGGTGGACAAGGTGGCTGTACAAAATCTGATGGCAGGGGTCAAGCGTAAGGCCCGGCAATTCGGATTTGGAAAAGCGGAAGCCTAACTGAATATTTTTCCTGAATTTTATACTAATTGAACTTGAAAAAGAAATTTAATTTGATTTTTTAAATAAACGATTTCACCGATTTACACGCGTTTTCCCTTGACCAAATTTTGACCGTATCACCCTTTATTTACAAATAGATTTGAAGTATTACTTCAATTTGGTTTTTGTCATTGTAAAGTCAATAGTTTCGCAATGCTTATTGTAAGTGACCATCATCTGATTTAATCTACGACATATTCATGTTCCTTATACTGTTCTAAAAATTTCGTTCAAACATAGTTTTCGTGTAGATTCCATAGATTGATAGATAAAAATCAGAAAGAGGCCGTTATAGCTTAAATTTGCAAGACAACAGAGCCAATAATAGTTTCAATTAGATTGACAGAACATAGTTGCATTGCTTTTCAATGACGACCGATGACGATGTTTGAACGAAATTTTTAGAACAGTATAAGGAACATTATGCCGTAGACTATATATCATTTGGAACTCAGAGTTTTTAACTCTCAATACAGTCCTAATTTCCGTCGGATCTTTGAGATACGCTGTAGTAACTTCGGCTCGTACGCCATATTGTTTTGTTTTGAACAAATCATACGAGCGTTTCATACGAACTACGTACGATTTGTTTCACACAAGATCAAGTCATAAAGTTCATTGCAGCCTCGTATAAAATTTAGACGCATATATTACGGGGATCATTTTTGAATACTATGGATACTATACGTGTCGTATGAAACTATTTCCAGAGCTCAAAATGCTCGTTCATACGAAACATATTATGAAAATCGTAATTCTAGTTTCCTCAGTGTAACAATCACGCGAAAATGGTGTTCACATCGAATCTGGCTGGTACAAGACGCAGAGGAACGCAGCGAGCTAGGTTGTTAGACCAAGTGGAGTAATATCTAGGAAGTGTGGGACACTCAAGAAACAGGAGACAAGCAGCCACGAAAAATGTTAGTTGGTCAACATTGTACATCAGGGTAAATCCTGAGGGACGTCGGACCAGCAAAAGTAAAGAAAGCAGGTAATTCTAGCTCAAATGTGTATACATCCTAGTTGATTACTGAATACAGACGAATTTGAGCTTTCCAATCTCTTTACTACACACAGAGAGAAATATTGTTGATTCGCGACCAACAATATTTTATTATTTATTCAAAAATATTATACGCTTATATCAACAATAAATGATGTTGTATTAACAAATTGTTTGTTTCATAATATATAATATTCATAATATAAAATAATAGCAGGTAGATTTCACAGTGCTTCAAACCGTGAATTCGAGATTAATTCGTTTTGGGCTCAGAATTACAAATGCTATAAACACAGACAAACAGACATAACGCATTGCGTATTTTTTACTGGAAACATCGTCAGTAAAACACTTCCGCCATCTGTTAAGTACACTATCATGGGAAGTAAGCTCAACACATGGCAGTGTGTACACTCAAAAATATTACTAAACAATGAAAGATGAAAATATAATCATTTTTAATTAAGTAATGTTTATATATTAAACCGATTAAAATTTTCTTCAATTATACTAAGTCCTATTATCGGTGAAATATTCGTTCTGCATGTGTATACACACTAAGATTTATTTACAGTATACTGTAATTTTTTACCGAATATGGAACATCACCAAACTGCGTACAGCCAGCGCGTATATCACCGGAAGCCAAGTAACCCAGAAAAATACATTCACTGCACTGCTGTCTGCCCTTCACAGTGAAGTATTGAGAATTTAGAAACTACTGGATAAACCCACATTTTAAGTAGTTAAGTTAAGGTTAAATTTAATGTTAATTTAATTGTTTTGAGTTATTAATGTTAAATTCAATGCTAATTTATTTGCTTTAAAAATAAAACTTGACTATTTTTTCAACTTAATCAATAAAAAAAAATACAAAAGCAGCAGATGGTACAGCAATAATTCATTTGAAAAATTAAGCCCTTTTATACATAATTTAAATATTCACACTTTACACATTTGAATGTATAATCCAAGTTTATACTAAATTCGTATTATCTCTCTTTATACCGAGCCATGTGGCCCATGTGTCAACCAGGTAAATAGCGGGACTTTTAAACTATTTAGTTTATTTTTTGAGTAAACGTCGAACGCAAGAGCATTGACTCTGCGCGCCACAGACGGCAGTACTAGCAACTGATAAAACAAATTAATTTACCATTAAATGCGTGTTCGATAAAAAAAAACATTCTAGATGTGTGTCTGTTTGTCTGTTTTGAGATTTTGTTTATTGTAGTTGCTTGTGCTTCAACACTCGTTACGGCATTCATGACTTGATCGAGGATATGATTTCACCTCGTGATCTTCAGCGTGAAAGAGATGGATGGTTGTAAATTTGATTTTTACGTTATTAAACGGTCCACTTAATAGTTTTATAAACTTAACTGTCACGTATTCTTATAAATCCTTTCCTTTATCTATCTATTTGTCAATAGATGCTCTACCTATCAGAATACAACAATTTGAAGTTCAAATTACGTTAACGTACATTATGGGAAATAGCTCTATCTCAAAAGTGGAGCCATCAGCTTGTGTGAGAAAAATCTTGTGAAATTTATCTGGTTTGCATTATTAAATGGAATTACCTACGTGTTGAACGTTACCTAGCGCAACATAATTATATTTCTAGTACAGCTTGGTGTACCGAAGAGCAATAAGGCAATCATACCACTTGCAAACAGGGTTGTTAAATAATTGTTGGCACTGAGGGTCAAGAATTGCATGCCAATCGACTCAGCTCAACGAAATAAGATAATGTGTGTTTATGTGCGTGCTTACGAGTGTGTGCGTTTCTGTGTGTGTGTGTTCTTTTTTATTCACTAACTTTTTTCAGAGATGACTTAAGCTAAATCTAACAGGCCACATGCCGTTACTGGGGGGATTTATTAGATTTTTTTGTTTAATTTTCAAATCAATTTAAATCTTCATTATTTATTTCGCTATATAAATAAATTAGAGTACACAATCAATTATGTATGTTCAAATTTTAAGAAATAATTGCAACGATAATATGAGGCTACATATTTAGCATACATAAGTTTTAAAGACCTATTTGGTAAGTCTTCTGATAATTACGATTCATTTACCATTAAAATTGTTAAAAAAATCCTACAGTTTCCACTTGGGTGTAGAGTACTTTCCCCTACTCTAGACACATAAATATGACTATTATCAAGTTCACTTTAAATTGCCCTTCTATACGATTCATTGTTGTAAAGTTCTTGTGGCTTACCTTGCATCGCCCATAATTGTGAAGCAACAAGTTGCGCCAAATAGATGTCCATGTCCACAGCACAATCGTAGCTTAGTTCATTTTTAAAGACCGATATATCCCATGAGTGATGGTCATAGAGGTTCATGAATAGATGGAAGTAGTTGGTTGGATTTGATTGCATCTCCTGGTCACTCATAACTGATGCTGGAATCGGAAGGTTTCCGTACGTTTGGTTCTTTGCTCCTTTACGAATATACTTGTAGATCTTTTTGGTTGACACTCGATCAGCGGGATCCATGCCATCAGTTGTTCTTTCGTTTTTACTGACCATTTGCTTATATGCATTTGATTCATCGGTACTGATAGACGATTGCATGTTGTCGTGTATGTTACGTATATCAAGTGATGTAGTAAGAAAAGGTTCCTTTGGAAACGAGTTTCGTGTACTGCTCAATGGAGTGTAAACCATTATTTCATCAACTTTTTTGTCAGGACCCACAAGTACACCAGTGTTTGCTTCATCTTGCAAATTTATATCACTTTGTGCAGTAGTTACATGTGGATGAGGCCATTCCACATTGGAATGTAGGTTCGAATCTTTCGATTCTGATATAACGTTCATCGGTGCAACGATGCTTGCATTATGCCTGGTTATTGGTTGGTACTTGTTTTTCGTAATAGCAATAGCCGACTGGTTTTTACCGTCATAACTTTCATTGCTGTGTGCAAACAAGAAGTTGCACGATAAAATGAGTAAACTAATTTCAAATACAATGAGCACTCGTTTTGGCATCTTCACAGAACGTTTCGTAGAACTTTACAAACTGTTATGTAATTTACTACACACTAGATCATTTCTTGCTTCGTAACGTAACACATGGAGGGATCACAAATAGTAATAAGGATATTTTTTTTCTAAATATAATAGCTAGTGATCTATAGAAGAAAATTAATTTTCAATTAGCACCAAGTTCAAATCGGTTGAAAAATATGAGCGAGGAAAATTAATATTTGCAGATACGAATAGTAAAAGAGCGCGAAGAAAAGTGACTAGCGCAAAGGATGGTATAAAGCCAACTAAAATGCATTCGGTTTATGCACATATTTCTGTATCGCAAAGCTTTCTCGACCATTTTCTTCGGCAGCAGAGACTAGCACCGATGCAATGAAAACCGAACTTGTCTCATTTCACTAGAAGGGGCATAAAGTACAGTGATAGACGCATATGTTTTAACGAGTATACACAGCAAGCGTGTTAGTTAATTCCACATCGTTTTACCACATCATTACACACTACTTTTTTGTGGAGTACACTAGGATAACCGATACCTGCGGTAAGTGGGATCATCGATTTATGTATTCTGTCTGATTTTTACAAGATAATTTTGAAATACGTGCCGAATACAAACGATAAACAAAACCAACATCCTTTTCAAAAATTACATTGTTGAAATTTTCTTTTTTTTTTGCTTCACGTTTTAAAGGCCCACGCACCTTGAAATCGTTGGTGATCCGTTGCTGCAAATCTGGCAGTCAAACCATAGATTAGTTGTAATTTTACCGCAACGTATCACCAACAGGTGCAATGTGCGTGGGCCTTTATGTGATGCTTCATCTAACTTTTTGTCTGATGGAAGTTTTTCGTGTTTAGGAAAAGCCTGTTTGAGCTGGCCACTAACAATACTTGCCATGTACAAATAAGCATAAAACATCGAATATTTTCAATCTTTTACAAAGTACATCACAAAGTAGTCAGGATTACATACTAATGTGTATGTATGTATGTAAGAAGCCACAATCCTAGCTTGGGTCTTGCCGTGCATGCGGCTCCACTCAACAGCAAGATCAAATTTCGTCATCATTCTTAATTCAACATATTGCTGTATGAAGGGCCAAAAAGGATTGGGCGGGCCCGTAAGCAGAGACACTTACGCGAAACCCGCGGGAGTAAGAGAATCTCCTTCCAACAATATGATCCAACAAAACGATTAACGAAATTCGCAATACATGTTAAGCTTTCCACGGGATGGTTTGTTTGAGAAGAGCGCGTCAAATTCATTGCAACTGTTGGAATAAACTGTAACTATCTAAAATGACAGTACACATTCCCTCCTAGACTCCGGTTGGCACTCCACTCCATTGTCCAGTTACAACTTCAATAATACTTTGATGCTCCCTCCCGTCCCCGCATTTTATGAGTATACAATATAATTTTACATATATAACATGCATTATTTAATGTTTATAAAATATATAGTGAAATACAAAATAAGAAAGTAAATAAGCATGACAATGTTCAAATAACCTAGATTTTACATGATTACAATTGCACTTTTTTAAATTATTTATTATCACTTTATAATATACTAGGCTTTATACATTAACCTTTTATGTGCCGTAGAATTACATAACGCATCATGGAATATTTTGAAAATATCGATAATATTTTTAGCAATGAATCAATAAACCGAAACATCTAGGTTGTTTGTACATTAAACAATATATTTATATATATATAAGTATACTAATTAATAAATCAACAATGATTGCATATATTGGACTCCTGTAAGGATAAAATTATTTGGTTATTACCCTGTAATGTAAGGTTATATTAATATAAATTGAAAATATCTCCAATGATGTTATGCTGATTCTGTCCAAACCTGTTTCCTGTTTGTAAATATTTAAACAATTAATTAATTATTTTGAACTACATAAATATAATTTCCTGTAATGTATTCGTTTTCGCATTATACTAATATAGATACATTTATGAATTGGCTTTTCCGACAGGTTATATGTTACAAAAGCAACTTAAAATGGGTTGTACAATTTATATTAAACTTTGGATGAATGTTCTTCGATTGACGCTCCTGTGTTTCGTATATTTTCACCGTGCTAAATATATACTATAATAGATAATTTCTTATTATTAACTGTAAATTAATTTCAATTTGTAACAATAAGTCAGGATTACATACTAATAGAAACAAAACACTACATAGAGTAATTTGTTAATTGTTGAACACCACCCAATTATTGCACACTTCACTTTGTTTACTTATCCACGGCCATTACTTTTACCAATCATGGTGATATGTTAATCATTGATCAATTGTCGATTGCTAAAGAATGAGCATTTGGTATTTAGTATTAGCAATATTGTCTTCATGCATGTTTTAAATATGTTTGGCATTCGTTATAGGAAAATGATGGTTATTGTTGTATCAAACGATCTATTACAATATTGCATATTTTGCACCACTCCTGTGCAAAAATACATGGCACAGTAATATTTTCGCACAAGCCAAAAAAAATTGAAAAATCAACTCATTTGAAAGCAGTTGCAGCTTTTGAACACTTCAACAATGAACAATTTACAATGAGCTCTCAAAAACTTTAAGTAGCCCAATATCATTTAAATTTTATGAACAGTGCGAAAATATTACGGTGTACTTATTTTAAGCGCAGGAGTATAATTTGGACTCATCCCAAATAACCAAAAGTTCCACATTCAACGATTAAAATCACTTCAATGAGCATGAGCATGAGCATGATTGACCGCCCACGGTTGCTACTCTGCTATTGCCAGATCAGCTGTACTTACACAGAGAACCAATAGACGATGCTTGGGACTAGCAATCATCCTCAATGTGTTAAAACTGGTGATCTCAAACTAGACAATACCAGTGCCGGCCGCGCCCGAACGCAGGTCAAGAAAGGAATGGGTGGGAATGTGTTGACGTGACACTCGCTTTGATGGAAGCCGAGAAATCCTCTGCACTTCCACGAGGAATCACTGGGATGTTGGATAAGAGGGTAGGGTTTGCAGCCGGGTTCGTTTTGGTAAACGATAAGCTGAATTGACGTCCTAACGATAGGGAGGGGTTACTGTATAAATAAATAAAAAGGAATGATCTCACTCCAATAACCAAATGCAGCTGCATCAATAGCAACTGGCCTCTTCATGGACTTTGTTCGACCCATCGCAGGTATCTCCTTAAAACACAGACGTCAAAATTCCGGATCAATCTCGTCGATATAAAATTAATAAAATATAACAAAATACAAACAACCTCGATTTTAGTCACTCAATTTCTCTAAACTCAAGCTATATATGAATATTTTAATTGCATAGTATGATTGAACTCAACTTTGCCTATTTAATGAATTCACAATTTAAGTAAAGAATCAATTTGCTAAACTATCGAGGTTATTTGAGCATACAAGAGTTATAAAAACAAGTATCCATGAATAATTCTGCAAAGGTAAAACAATTTAAAAACATTGGCCTAATGTATGATGATATTCAATTTATTCTCTGGGTAATCCAAATTCTGAAAGCAATAGATCATATTATATTATAATAAAATAAAATGTTAATAACAATGATTTGATATTTGCTGGTCCTTCAGGATCTGCAGGACAACTATTTTCTGTAAAAAAAATTATAGTTATAATGATATAATGGGATTTTAAATATATGAAATAAAAATAATTTACTTATCATGCAATATATAAAATTTGATGAATAAGAAATAAACAAGCATTACAAAATACGAATAAGCTCGATTTTATTTAACCTCAGTACATTTAACTGATTTCAACGTTTGATATTTTATTTAAATTGAAACAAACACTTTATTATGCACCATGGAATTGTGTAAAGTAATATGGAATGCTTTTTAAATATTGGTAAACTTTAAGAATGAATCAATAGTCAGAAAAATCGAGGTTATTTGGACAGTTAGCAGTTTTCATGCGTTACAATGTTTTTGTATTTTCCTGAACGAAGGCTGAAAAAAGTGAACCATTATAATCACAAACGAAGTTACAGACGACTAACTGGCGAAGAAATCCATTTAAATAATGTGGTTCACTGTAATAGAATTTTCTTGGTAGCTTGTGCCATCATCCACCAGATGGGTTAGTTTTTTTGTTTTGATTTGAACAAAGTTGATTTTGTGTACAATGATTCTTTGACAGTGTGCAGAGAGTGCGTATCCTTTTGTCATTTTTTTTTATGCATTTCAGTTTTGAGTAGAGTGAAAGAGATAGAACCAAAACATTCTAATACATTTGGTGAAAATTCTAGTTCAATCTAGTAGTAGTGTAGCCATGTGGTACAATCCAGTAGTAGTGGTGTTGCCATGCGGTACACTGAAAAATTGCAATAGCAGGTTAGTCACCAAAGTTTTCGAGCCGCTCCGTCTGTCACTTCGTTTGTGATTATAATATTATTCTAAAAATGTTCCATAATCGAAGAACTGAAAATAAATTTAAAGATTTAAATCAGTAAATCCAGCCAAAACGAAGGACTCGCGAACACAATAAGCTCCCTCATCAATCATATTCCGAATTTGATTAAATAAGTATTTACAAGTATACAATTAAATATATCAACAGTAATGTAATTTTTTCTCTCCTGGAAAGGAAAAATAAAATGGTTAATTGCACTGTCATATAAACGTTAAACATACATTAGAGAAAATCAAATAATGTTACGTTGCTTCTTCCAGTTGTGTTTTGGTCCTGTTATAAATATTTATTATTGAATATATAATGATAATATAATAGGACCTGGGTTTTATTCAAACTCAAACACCACGGTGGTGCCCTTTACACAAGAATAAGCCTCTACTACTGATGATCTTTTAAACCTGGAGACAAAAAAGCTACGAAAAAGCGCTTATGCCTTCATTAAATTCTACTCTTATACGACGTTAATAAAAAAATAACAAGATTCTCTTGAATTGGTCGCGTCGCGTTGGCAATTATGCACGGCACATACAAATTAAAAAAAAATGTATGGACAATTGTCTACGCAGGGGGGGGGTCAAG